CACACACACACACACACACACACACACACACACTACCTGCAGACAAAAACCAGCTTACTCAAACCTACATTGGACGCTCCGTCTAAACGAAGCTTGAGCGCCTGCAAACTGCATTCAGAGAGCCGTGAACTTAGCCTGCCAACTACATACAGGGCGCCGTGAACGTAGCCACTGCGTAATTTATAAACCAATGTAATCTTTTCTTAAAAAGTAAATGCCAACAATTTCGAGCGTTTTGTTTCCCTTTCATCCGTTTTTGTGGAATTTTTGTGAATTTTTGCGACAGGGCCAGTTAAATGGAAAGTAGGTCCACCATTTTTCATCGTCTCCATAACTTGAATTATCATAGGCCTACTAGTAAGGTCATAGTCATAGACACACGCAGATGCTATGTTACTACGTCACATGACCTGTGATGGAAGGGAGAGGAGTTTTTGTCTCTTCTGGGAACGAGGGGAATCCCTTCTTGCATAAGTAGTGATGTGGTGGGGGGGGGGGGGGGGGGGGGGAGCGAGTCAACCGGACTAAAAATATTAAGTGTCCGGATTGTTTGGCCTTGGATGGCCGAGCTTTGTGGACGCAGTTCGCGCATATCGGCCACGTGCACAATATGTTTTTAAAATATATTTTCAAGCTTCGGGAGCTGTTTGAAGTTTCTTTTACATTTGACAGAAGGGTGTAAAATGGATTTCATAATTTGAATGAGTGGTTATGGGGGTTTTGGGGGCAATTGGGGTGAGACTGAGAAGAGCAAATCGTCATCATTGGCTTTCACCCCTGGCAGGGTACAGGTACACTCAAGCTCCTTCCATTTATCTCTGTCCTGGGCCATCCTTCCAAGTGAGCTTCATCTCTCTCATTCTTTCCCCAAGCATGTCCTCCATGTTTCCCGTGGCCTACCCCTGCCTTGTGCTCCCTGTGGGTTCCGCTGCAGTGACTGTCTTGTGATGTTTCCGCTGGGCTTTCTTAAGGTATGTCCCATCCACGCCACTTTCTTAGTCCTATTTCTACTTCTATATCTTATTGTCATGTCCTTTCCCATAGCTCTTCATTTCTTATTCTATCCTGCCACTTAATTCTTAGGTTACTCCTCATACATCTGTTGAAGAAAGTCTGGACTTTATTCAGTACTGTCTTATTGTCTTATACTTATTGTCTTCCAAGTTTCGCAGCCGTAGAGGAGTTAAAGAGTTGAATCTTGGTGCGCAGTGAAATGTTGCTTGCTTTCCAGATTTTTGATAATTGATTGAATGCTAACCTTGCCTTGGCAGTTCTTGCTTTAACATCTGTCTCAGTTCCACCTTTACCATCGATGACACTTCCAAGGTAGGTAAAGGAGTCCACTTCTTCCTTGGTAGTGTCTTCCACTGTCACAGCATGGCTTGAAACTTTTCCTAGCTTCACTACTTTTGACTTGCCTGGATGTATACGTAGGCCAACTCTCCTTCATAGGCTGTTTAGTTCCTTGGTCTTTTCTTGCATCTGAGCATGTGTGTGAGAGACCAGTGCAAGGTCATCGTCGAAGTCCAAGTCGTCCAGCTGCTGCCGAGGGTCCCACTGTATTCCATTACGCTTGCCCCTGGTGGTTTCTTTGATGACCTAGTCAATTGCCAATATGAAGAGAAAAGGTGAGAGCAAGCAACCTTGTTGCACTCACTGTTTGTACCTGGAATGGTTCTGAGAGTTGTCCTTAGGCGAAGACTTGACAGTTTTTTCCATCATAGGTGGCTTTCTCTAGACAAGCTTGACGATTTTGTCAGGTATTCCAAAATGCCGCATAAGTTGCCTCAGAGTTTCCCTGTCCACGCTGTCAAACGCCTTTTTATAATCAATGAAGTTGACCGTGAGTGGTGAATTCCGAAGCGATTGCTCAACAATGATGCCCATAGTAGCGATCTGGTCCTCATATGATCAGTTTTTGCCTAATCCTGCCTGGCTTCCTCGGAGCCTCTCATCTGTTGCCAGCTTTATTCTCTCCAGGAGTATCCTGTTAAAGACTTTCCCAGGTATGGACAGTGTAATGCCTCTGTAGTTGTTACACTTGCTGAGGTCTCCTTTCTTTGGCAGCTTGATTAGGTGGCCTTCCTTCCAGTCTGATGGTATTTCCTCCTTTTGCCAAACCTTTTCAAATTGAGCCTAGAGAATTTCCACTAATGTATCTTTATCTGCCTTTAGGGCTTCCAATGGTATTTGATCGGGACCAGCTGCCTTGTGGGACTTCAGGGATGTTATTGCTGCTGCAATTTCCTCTCTCGAAGGTGGTTCCATAACTATTGTGAGGTCATTTCTGGCTGGAAGAATTTCTTGTTGGTTTTCTGGAGGTGGTCTGTTCAAGAGTTGACCAAAGTGTTCTCTTCTTCTGTTAAGTTGCCGCTCTGGGTTAAAGATAGTCTTTCCCTCTTTGTCTTTCACTGGTAGAGTGGGCTTGCTGAACCTACCTGAAAGAGTTTTGTTGTTTGGTATACAACCCGCAATTGTCCGTCTGTTGGTGCTTTCTCTGCCTTTTCGGCCAGGCCATTCAGGTGGTAGGTATTCTTGTCATTCTTGATGGAATTCTTTACCTTCCAGTGTACTTCGGTGTACTCTTGTTGTGCAGCTAGTTTCTCAGTTCGGGTATGGGCTGTTGTTGACTTGGGCCTTCAGCTCTCTTCTTCTTTTGACTTTGTCTAAAAAAAATAAAAATCTAGTGAGTTTGGGGTAGGTGATGGGGGTACAATCACCCTGTTCTTTATCGCAATTTGATGGTTGGCGATTAGGTAAACATTTTTTCAAATTGATATTCTTTGTTCCTAGTTACTTGTACAAGGGAGGGACAAAGGAACAACTGCCAAGTGTAGGCCTCTATGCACAAAAGACGAGTTTTCATTAAGCGAACAGGTCTTCACTATTATCATTATTTTTTTTGTAATGGCAACTTTTTATTTGCCTAGTAGTCACAGAGCTCTGTTATCTCTACCGACTGGTCTAGAAATTATAAATTTATAACTCAAAATTTGGGTACAGTTAACAGAATTGAATGTTTTACATGCATATGATGTAATAATGTATTATAATATATAATAAAAAACTAAATTAATTTCACTATGAACATATTTTCTACCTTCTTTGCATGTAAAATTAGAAAAGAAAATGCCATTTCTTTTATTTACGGAGGTACACAGTAAGTAGGTCATTATTGTCACGTTATTGTGTCTGATATAAAAAGCTATAGTCTGAAATGAAAATGCACTCTATAACCCTTCCGTTTAATTACTGAATTATCCTTACAAGCAATTATGGGATTTTTTTTTTTTAACTACCACAAAAAAGTTAGCCAAAACCATACCTGTTTCATTGTTTAGAGCTAATTGAAGATTATTTCTGGGTATGTGTACACTGAAGAGCCTGTCTCCTTATGTGCAACGCAGTGTCACATCGCGTGTGGCCCTTGCCACTCTAAAATCTATCAAGTAAAATTATAAAGAAACCATCTCCTTACACTAGTCGCACGTGACCGTCGCCTGCAATCGGTCCATGTAGCGATTGAGGGTCTCGTCGCGTGCGACAGATTGTAGAGGGGGTGTGACAAGTTTAGAACATCACCATTGGTTAAAATAACTAGCCAAGGCGTGCCGGTTGACACGCCGTGTGTAGTGTGGTGTGTGTGTGTGTTTGGGATGTTCATCTTCAATTCAAACCAATGCAAGTTTCGTGAATCTAATTTTGTTCTTTTGTTTTTTTAATGAACAGCTGGAGAAGGAGGAAGGCTCTTCAGGATTGGCCATGTACGGAATAAAAAATTGTCTTCGACTCGTAGAATTCCCATCTGTCGGCCATTGTACTTCCTTGTCCATCTTGACATTAAAATTTGCCTTTGTCTCTCTTCTGTGAATTGTCTGTCGCTTGCAGCTAAACGTCGAGTCGTGCATACGGAGACAGTTTTTGTTGTAATTGTCGCATGCAACTGAAAATTTTGGAGCGATGTCACACATATGAGGATACTCATCACTAGTGACCCTCGCGTCGTGCATAAGGACCCTGAGACGTAGGCTTAGTGCACTCACAAACTGTACGTTTTATTTTACAGACTTCTTTTTTTTTTCTTCTTTTTATTGAACAGACTGATTGGTGTGAGACGGAAATAGAAGCAGGTTCGCTGTTAATAAGAGTGACTCGTCCTCTTATTTTAATTTGATCTCATATACATCACCTACAGCAAAATGCAAAAGTATGAGAAACTGGAGAAAATAGGAGAAGGTAAGTTTTTCTTCATCTGAAAGATCTAATATTAGATCAACAACTCCTCCCCCCCTCACCCCCCACCCCCACCTTCTTAGTAAAAGTGAAGCTAACCAGAGTAAATGTATCTGTTTAGTGTAATAATGACTGCAGTTATAGTGAATATTATGTCAATAGCAATTTTCAGTAATAATCGCTCGACCATTGACAAAATGTTAAAGTCTTGTTTATTTACATGCAAAATAGCAGGGAAATTCATATTGTATTGGTATTAAGATTATGACCTGGAAATAAACAAAAAATTTTATTTAAAATTTGTATTATGCTTCCATCCGATAAAGTGAGTGAAAAGGATCAGCTATTGCTGATTAGTCTAGCATAGCATGCACTGAGGGGAAACTCACATAGCCAACAATTTTCTCTTGTGTGAATGATTATGTGATTGTTGTAAAGCGCTCAGAGCTTATATTAAGTATGGGAAAGAGCGCTATATAAATGCAATCTATGATTATTATTATTATGTTAAAAAAACCCAGATCTGTTAATTTAAATCTCCCTTGATGTAGTCTAAAATTTGCAATTGATGAAAAAATGTTCAGGTCCCTCCAATTTCGCTATTTGTGTGATAGAGTGTGTTAGTGTTCTGAGTAAAGGTGACAATCCATATGTGCGGGACGGCAGCGGCAGCGGGACGATAAAAATCGCTCCAACAGAAATATCAATGTCTGAATCCATAAGTGCGGGACGATAAAAATCGCACCCAGGAGCGATTCTGCCGCAGACAAAAATATGAATGTGGCGGAATAGGGTTGACTGTGAAGAATCTCTGTGTGATGCAGTCAATTCATTTGACACGGAAAACTTGCTGAAACCATTGCACCCCTATGTTGTCGTTCATTCACCCATTTTCTTGATATGCCCAAATGGTGCCTTCTGGGCTGTCCTGAATGGCAAAGGAATGGATGGACCTGTTCGTTATGCTAGTGACAAAAGATCAAGATAATCATCATCAGCAGTATTCGTTCTTGTTTCATTAACCTAGACAGTTTTGACTGGGTAGGTGCCATGCTGCTCAAAACAAAAAAGGCGCCAACATGCCTTCCCCTTTTGAATTTGCTACTTGCAATATCGCACATTTCGTCCCGCTGCCGTTCCGCTGCCACACATATGGATTTAATGTGACTTGCGGTACCGCACATATCGTCCCGCTGCTGTGCCGCTGCCGTCCCACACATATGGATTGCTACCTTAAGCTCTGAGCATTCACCATCTTAAAGCAGATCAGGACGTGTTTATTGAACAGTGACTTGAAATTGACGTAAAAGAGTACATCTTTATGGTCTTAAGGTACATGTCGCTAGCCGCGTGATTCAACTACCTAAGTGCCAAGAGACCAATTTTTCAGGAGAAGCAAAAAACAGTTTTATTTCTTTATGCTCGTACCTATGTATCTGAAATTCAGATATATGATATAATATAACCTAGGACAATGGTCTGTAACTAACTTTAACAAAGAAAAGCTTTCTTACATAAGTTACTGGACGTAGGCGGTTTACACCTACCAAAGTCTGCGTGATTCAACTACGTAAGTGACAGTATGATGGCATCTAGGCGTTTGGATCACGTTAATCTAGGCCACTTGACTAGCGCCAATGGTCACCTGGGCGTTTGAGTTATGGACAAAAGCAAATCACAATAGTTTTAAGAGGACTTATAAAGTTAAGAGTAATTATTTTAGTTATTTGGTTGGGTCTTCTTGGGCAGGAGTGTTTTTGGTCTCATGGAGTTGGTAATTAAGACCTTTCATCTTAACATTCAATTTGTACTGGATGTTTTTGTTCAGTGTGTATCAAAGGCAATGAACGTTTGTGACAATGCGGTCGTTTTTGTTTCAGCCAGGTCTGAATGATCAAAAAATCTATTAAAAAAAAAAAAGAGGGGGGAGGGGGGTATTGTCTTGCTCTCTTAAAAACATTCAAGATTATCCATGGGCACATAGACCATGTCATTTTTCACGGACCTTTCGATTACACTGTTTGTGCGGTCCACTTCCATTTGTTTCTTTTTCAAGGTATTTGAGTTCAACAGTTTTGTCGCTGATTGCATTTGACAAGAAAGCGTTGTGGTCTGATAAGTACTACCATCACTGTATATAATGAACATTGCATTTATTGTGAGTAGGCGGCTCCTCTAGGACGTCACTGACACAAGAAGAGAATTCATTGGCAATCAATGGTCCTTCCCCTTCATGCCAAACGTGACTCTTCATTTCTTTGGTTAGCAAATTTTAAAGAATATAGATTGCTAATTTGGTTCTGTTATGATATAGTGCAGCAGATGCGTTTAACGCCATACTAACAATTCCTCTTCCAAGTCCATGCACACTAGACATAATCTATGATAATCTGGTCCCATCCACTGGGTTTTATGCAAGCTACTTGTTAGATTCTTTCTCCTATCTTGCATATTTCACATTGATCCTTCCAACATACATGCATCAATAGGTTGCTCTTTTTTACTATCTAAAGTCGTCTTGGACAATTTGTGACTCTTCACATTTTCTTTGGTACTCCCTATAAAAACTCCAAGGCTTTGAAAGTGTTGGTCAAGATAGATTTTGCCTGTATTCTGTCTGTAGTAATAGGAAAGCAATGTCATCAAGTTTGTCAAAGAATTACTTGTCACAAAATTGCTACCCCCTGGGGCAGTGCCACTAACTGAAGTGTCTTTAGGCCATTCCCAAAGGGGGGACATTTCTCGTTCATGCACAGTAGAATTATAAATGGGCTGATTCATCAATGTCAAGCTCACTGCCTGATCTACAACAAGGAACTGCTGCTTTTTCTTTCCTAATCCTTACTATTGTCATTTTTAATCTACTTCTTTTGTATTATTTGGTCACACTCTTGTGACCCGCTATTTCTGGGGTGCCTTGAAAGTCGAAACAGACTTTGTGTTGTTGAAGCTAGAGAGGTGAGCAGAGTAAGCCTGATTCCCTGTAAAGACTTCTCTGTTGACATCCACCCCTTTGTGCTCATATGACCTTATACAGTTGCGAGTGCCGTAAAACCTCTACTAAATTAAAAAAATAAAATAACAAAATTGCTTGTCCTCTTCTGTTCTCGTCTCTGGTAATATGACAATCATGGAGCTCCCATCTCCAAGTCATGTAAACCGCCTTTGCCAGTCATGAATTACTACTGTATGAGGGCAGTTGTATACAAACTCATTGTTTTGCCTACAGGTAGAATGTCGCTGTAGATTTGTTCCAAATTGAAGTGTAGACCTGGAGAGTAGAAGCTTAAAGTTTGTTGAAGAAAAAATTTTCAGGGCATATATATGCTTATGAGTGGCTTTCTTTTTTCGAGTGAAAAATTAAGTATCATCTACCCGCCACTGATTGAACTATTCAATGATTCAAGAATGTTACATGACAGACACAGAAAGGGGCGCTCACTTAAAGTAAATTAAGAAACGCGAAAAGTTGGGATAAGAATACTTTCCAATAGTTGTACAGAATGTGAAATAAGCACCCCTCAGCTGTCTGTCAAAGACTTTTAAAAAGATTCATTCGTCAGAAGCTTTCGCTACAATTTACCGACTTGGCCGATTCAGTATCAACATTATTTGATTCCGTCTTTCCTTTTTATCAACCACACTATCATAGATTACGCAAACTGCCTTGACAAAATCGTCTGGCTATCAATAGGGTTCGATCTGAGTCGAAGTTAGTAAAGGTTGTTGTGATGTTACCCTCAGTCTGTTTTGACAAAGGCCACAGTCGTGTAGGTCGCGCCGCCTACTTGACAGGTGAACACATCAACCAGCCGCAAAATCTGTGTGATTCAACCTCCCATTTGCCACCGGGCTGCAAAACCGGCACTTGGGCGGTTGAATCACGTGGAAATTGAGGACTATGTGATATGGGCGATTGATTTACTGAAAGATTGAAACAGTTTGCAGTAATCTTTCAAACTCAGGATTTCCACATAATGTGTATCAAGGGCTGTACTACATAAAGGGATCAAAAAGTGATTTTCGAAAAGTTTGTCACTTAGGCGGTTGAATCCCACGGCTAGCGATGTACATTTGTTACCTACCTTTCTTTGCCCCACCCCTTCCATTTTATTTTATTGCCTTGCTTTAAAAGCTTTAGTACTCATGGGTAATAAATACATTGCTTCTTGTAATTTACAGGAATGGCAACTTACTTTTTAATTTATTTGATATTGTTGATTTATTCATTTTTAATTTATTTGATATTTTTATTAATTTTTTTAAAATATTTTTTTTTGGGGGGGGGGGGGGTTGCCTATTGGAATTAGTTCTATTACAAAACTTGTAAAATTGACTATTTCGATTTGATCGATTGTCTTCTCTGTGATATCAATGGATGTCTTTTTCAGGTACCTATGGCACAGTATTCAAAGCCAAGAACAGAGACACACTGGAGATTGTTGCTCTGAAGCGAGTACGGCTTGATGATGATGATGAGGTAATATTACATGTGACTGTTTGCACTAGAACCCAAGTGTTAAAGATGTTAAAATTTGTAGTGGTTTATTGTACTCCTTAGACAATGCCATTGCTTTTGAAATGACATACTTAATGTTTATAATATTGGTCATGTCCACAATTAATACAATCCCACTAATCCCAGTGTTTAAAAATTATTAACATAATTTAAGATACTGTCAATGTCTTGAAAATGTTGTCAGTGTGTCTGGTAAAATTTTTCTAATAAAGAAATTCTAAGACTATTTCTGTCATCTCCCAAATCTGCACACAGTTGAAGGTGGGGTTTTTTTTCTTGTTTTTTTTTTTTTATTGAACTGGATGTTTGGTTAAAAAAGGTGAACCAAGATACACTAATGAAGGACTGCCCTCTGAGACATACCTATGGCTTTTATTACTGTTATTCATGTGAATTCTTGGTTTTGGTCTTTTCCAGGGTGTTCCCAGCTCGGCTCTGAGAGAAATTTGTTTGCTGAAGGAACTGAAGCACAAGAATGTTGTCAGGTATTGTTTAACTTAGCAATTTTACTGTTCATTCTTTCTAGAATTTTAAACAATACCTGTAAACGAAATCTTTATAAGATGTGTCATCATGAGGTGCAAAGTACATATTGATGCTTCATGAATATAAAGAATGAGAGGTAACCGAGGAAAAAAATCTCTTTTTTATATTTAACATTCTGAAATATCTTGATCCAGTGCACATAATACTGGATCTTTTCTAAACTTGACTGTAAAAGGTGGGGAAATGCATATTGTTCTAACATGTTTCATAAGTTGAGAGATTATTTTCTGACCTCTATTCAGTTTTACCCTGGTATAGAAATGTCTGTATAATTAATGAGATTTTGAGTAGCTGGGCTTACTTAAATGAAAATTTGTCTGTCCTTTTCATTGTTTCTTCCCATGTTGATTCATGGCATGGTAATCTAGTGGAGTCTTGGTGCCTTTGGGTTTTTTTTACCCGTAGTCCCACATTCTGGGAAGGATACTTAGAAACTTTCACTTTCCTATTTTTGGTGATTAAGGGGTTTACTGATCTTGTAGTTGCAGGTTGACATGAAGAGATATAATTCTTTTGTGTATTTGTGCTTTTGGGGTTGGCATTCCGTATTACTTTTGTTTCAACCTGAACACATGTTGTAGAAAGGCTGTCTATCACTATGAAAAGGGGTTGTATGGTCATGGTCATTACATAAATATATTTCTTTCTTGCCCTTTACTTTTTCATATTGTTTTGTGAACACAATTACTGATGCCAACATTCTTGTTACAATTTTTGCAGTGTTGTCAAATCATACCTTGAGATAAACAATGCTTAGTGTATAATTCACCTATTCTGTCTTGTGGGTGTTTAATGGAGTTTTTCCTTGTGAACATGTTTGCGTTATATAATAAAATTAAGCTCAAGTTTTGCTTTCATACTACACTGAAATTGTAATGTCTCATCATGTACTTTTGCTTTTTTTCTGCAGGCTTCACGATGTTGTTCACAGTGAAAGAAAACTGACCTTAGTGTTTGAATATTGTGACCAGGATTTGAAGAAGTACTTTGATGCTTGTAATGGAGAGATTGATCCTGATACTGTTAAGGTAGAATATATGTGCATTGTCTCTTTTATGAGTGGATTCAAATGTCTATGATTAATTTTTAGAATAAAAATTATAATATATATGTTGTGACGGCTGCATATGGCCTCACATTATAAAAAGATTAAAACTTGTAAAGAAGGCGAAATACAGTCTCTCTCTTGCCTGCCTGCCGGAAAACTGATTTATTGTTGTTTCTTTTTACTTTGAAATCTCGTGTGAATTCAAAACGAGAAAATATGTGACGTGTCAAGAAGGGGAAATAATTGTGATATTAAAGAATCGTTATTACAACATTCGCAACTTAGTTCATTCCCATTTTTACATATCATAGCTGCATTCATTCATTGCATATGTGCTTTTATGGGACTTCATAGCTGGTGATGTGGGAAGGGACACAGTGCTTTCCCATATTTTCTCCATTTACTTAACTTTGCTTTTTCACTTTTTTGTGACTGTTTTCACTTTTGAAAATCCAAAGGTAATATAAAGTATGCTTTAAAAAGATTCGTAGTCTGTCATGAACAGAAAAAAAAATGGGATGAGGGTTTCACATTTCAGTCTTTCCTGTCTTTCGATTTTTTTTCCTCGTGAAAATCTCACAAACGTCCTGGATCACTTCCTTTTCATCAAATGAAAATGCCTCATGCTTGCTTTCATGCCAAATGATCAGTTTGTTGTTAACAGCCTTTGCTGCCAGTGAACTGCGGAGTGCTGTATAAACACGGTTCTGAGCTGGAAAACCACGGTCATTGGGCTCGGAAGAAAGGGGGATAGAGAAGGCTTCGGGATAGAGAAGGGGGAAAATTATGCTTGCCAGATGCACACCTCCTACGTTTTAAAACGTATGCAAACCACTGCTCACGTACCACCAAAACTTAAAGAGTGTAATCTGCAGGTTTTATGCGTAATTAACGCTTATCTGTACGTAATGGGGAGCCCTGTTATCCCAACTTAAAACACCTTAATGTACTCCAGACTGCTGCCATTGGTGTTACTATGAAACAAAGGAATTAGGTTTGTCCAACTAGTTTCACCAAACTATGAATACTCACTATTTGATTACACTCATTTTTTTGTGTAGGCCTACCCTTTTTGTTTGTCAAAGTTGACTAAAGAATGAGTTAATGTACCCAAGAAATATTTCAATATTTCTCCTTTTTTTCTCAGAATTGAAGAAAAAAGTGCTTTATTTTGTATGCGCAAAGTTCTTGAATATTATCTCAGTTTCTGTGCTCTTTAGAACAAAAGACAAATAAAATATGAGTTAGGCTGTAGGTTTTGGCGTTGACATCTCTTTTGACTTTGGAAATAGAAAAGAAATGTGTCCTGCATCACTGTGTAGTATTTTATTTTATTTTTGTGTAGAGGATTTTTATTTCAGGCGTCTGTCAACGAAAGAAATTATTGTCATTCTTGCTGCACAAAGAGCTTTGTACAAGTTGCTTTTGCATATATTTAAAAGTTGGGAATAGGAATTATTTCTAAACTTTTATTTCAATATTTCATGTGTCACTTTTATTTCAGTCTTTCATGTGTCAGTTGCTCAGAGGGATTGCTTTCTGCCATAGCAATAATGTCCTCCACCGGGATCTGAAGCCACAAAATCTTCTAATAAATAAAGTAAGTGCAAATGCGCATTCTTTTTACTGTTATTATTTTTCACATCATCACTGTAGCAAGAACAATGATTAGCTCGAAATGTTTTTCACTCAGCCTGCATAGAAGGGTAAAACAAAGTTATCTGATTTTCTTGCAATGAAGAGAATATCAAGAAATGTGTTATGAAATTTTTTCAGACTTGATTCTCTTTCAAGGGGAGTCTCTGAGAGATTTCAATGCTTTTTAGCATTTTAGTCTTTGAACATATATAGAGGTGCAAATAGTTATTTTAGCACTACTATCATTTTTATATACCGTACCTGTATTTTACAATAGTAACACAAATAAGATTGAAAGCAATTACCTTAGACTAAAACACTAAGTTCCAACTTTACTATATGTGTTATATGACTCTACCATATAAATAATGTTGACTGATAATTGTAAGGCATTTACTGTGTTAACAGCTGACAGTATAAAGGCAGAATCACTGAAGAAAAGTTAGCAGGGGCATTAGGTACTAATGAAAGATTTACTAATCACATTCATTCCAGGGTAAATAATGTTTCAAGTGAGTAGAGTATAATTATTTTTCCTTTTGTCACTAAAGCAGTAGACTGTGCATTCTATGGTCTTTAACTGTATTTCCAGAATGGAGAGTTAAAGCTGGCTGACTTTGGACTCGCAAGAGCATTTGGTTTTCCAGTGAGATTTTATTCAGCTGAGGTGATTGTTTCAGCCATTCTTGTTTCTGAGTTCTGAATCTACCGTACATTATTCTTAATCCTCCTAGTGTCGATAGCTGATTAAATTACCCATAAGTTTTGTTATGTGGTGTCATGGCCAATTAAATTAGTTGTAGTTTGAGTCACTATTTCGATTTGTTTGTCCTGAATTATTTTTAAAACCCGAAACATTTCAGTTTCTTCACAAATGAGCTCTACCTCATAGATACCTTTTATTTTCTGAAATTGTATAGGTTTATGACCTTCACTTTGTTGGTTTGCTGTTTTCAAGCCTTTTCCTACATAATGAATGAAATTATATATAATTTCTCCTGACACCCAGGCTGTTTGTATGTTATGCTTGGGTAGGTTTAAGAACTTAATGAATTTTTAATCTATGTATACTTCATCACATTGTTTTAAAAAACTCTTACCATTCATTGTTGTTTTTGCTCTCTAGTTTAGGTGTGGGGATAGAGATTCAGAGTTAAATTTGTGTTAAAGGATATGGTGTTTTCAGCTGCTGCAAATAATCATTCAACACTCGGCGCATTGCTTGGTAATGGCAAGCCTGATTGGAGAGTAAATTCTAAGTAGTTGTAACCTGGTATGAGATTTAAAAATGATGGAATAGTTATCCTTTGATAAATTTCTTTTGCTTCACATCACATTGTTTTGCAGAAATTTTTATTGTATTTCTATTCATTTGGACGATTTGACGATGGTATAATAAGGCTTTCTTGGTTTTTTCCTTGTGTAGCTTATTGACTAGCAGATTTAATCTGCAAATGAATCCCAGAGACTGCATTTGTTGTTTATAATCTATATTTTTAAGAAATGCCAATCAATGACTGTTGACCAAATGAAAATATTAAAGTCTTGTATGGTCCTCAGGTTGTCACCTTGTGGTACCGCCCTCCTGATGTGCTGTTTGGGGCAAAGATGTACTCTACATCGATAGACATGTGGTCAGCAGGCTGCATATTTGCTGGTATGTGTTCATTGTTTAATATGTAATAATATATGAAGAGTCCACGGGGGAAAAGGGTATAGTCACAAACTGGAAATTGTGAGGGTGTCAATTTTTAAAGCTTATGGACTCATAACTTCATATTTGTTTGATTGGTGGTTTATTGTGTTTGTTGAATGGGACATCTAAGAACAATAATCAACCAATAGTTGAACTGAAATACAGTATTGAGTCAACAAGCCTTCAAAATTGATATCCTCACAATTTTCAGTTTGTGACTATTTTACAAAAAAGAATGTCTAGTCCATTTTTGGGCCAGGACGTACCAGTAACTCGTAAATATCAGCATATTGGGAGGATGAAAAAGAAGAAAGAGAGATGAAAAACGCTGTACTTTGCTTAAAATATTTACATTTGTTATCCTATGGGATACTTTGTTCACTACATTCTTTTATACATTTTCTTTTCAGAATTGGCAAATGCAGGTAGACCCCTCTTTCCTGGCAATGATGATGATGATCAACTGAAACGGATATTTAAGTATCCTTTAAAAGAGGACTTTTCACAAAAATGTCATTTATAGTGGAGTGAAGAGCAAAAAAGAAAGCGTAGAGACGTTGTATTTTGGTATATCAATACTTATTGGAAATATGTTTTTTTAAGCATGTGTTTTGTTTTGTTTATGTTTTGATAGCAGCCAAGTCATCAATATAGGCCAAGTACAGTCAATCCTGTCCACAATGGTCACTCAAAATCAGAGAGAAAAATGACCGTCACAGACTGATAGCAACTATGGTCAGGGTCTAAAATATGGTCACTCACAATATATATGAAAGTAGATTCTAACATGGTACATGTAAACCACCGACAACAACGCATAAGCTAAATCAAAGCATTCCATTCCGAGAAATGCATCCAACAGACTCAAACCCCAGTATAGCAGTCATTCACATAGCAAAACAACTCAAGAAAAACCAATAAGCTTGGCAATAAGCCTCAGCAACATCTTTCCATTGATAGAACACACACACTCAGTCTGAAAAAGGGTAAGCGGAAAACTTTTGTAGCAAGTGACTGCTAAGAGCAGGTTTTGAGGCCAGCTTGTTGTGAAAGTGACTGACCATGGCTGCATTGGGCTGGGATCGCAGTGGACTGTACAGCGTAAAAAATATTGGAGAATCACAAGGGTGTTGTGTAATAATGGCCATAGGTACATTTAACCGCTTTAGAGAGTTGACTGCTTAGCCAAGTTTAAATGTAATTAACTCCTCCTCTTCACCAAGAGTTGTGTAAGATTTACTTGAGATGAAATACATGTTGCTGTCACTTGTTGATTTTTTCATTTGTTGAGTTTGCCTGAGATAAAAGAAATTTCTCCTTAATGAAGAAGACTTTTGGGCACACCAACAGAGGATACGTGGCCAGGACTGTCTCAGCTTCCAAACTACAGGGTGAGTCTTTGTTAGTTTTTACAAGAACAAGGGTATGATATAGGGTTTTTTGTGTCCCATTCACCACCATAAGATTGTGCACTGAGACTTCTCCCTCCAAAAGGCTGTAGCTAAAGTTGTAGGGAACAGTGAAGATGCTTCGAACAACTCCAGTTACAACAGAGTGCTTTGTACAGAGTTTGGGGATACCTGCGCCTAAGCTCACTATGACATCTATTGAAGTATTGCCACACCTTCGGACAGTGTCAACATAGGAGTATAGTAACCATAAAGTAAAAATGTAGATCTGTATTTGTTTTATTTTTTTTATTTTTCCGCCCTTTGTGGAATTGAGGGCTTCTGGAGCTTTTGAAAAGCTAAAGCATTGGACAGTGAGTATCCATCAATCATCTCAGTGGTACTCTGAGAATGTCTTTGGAATATGAATGTTGAAGCATGGATTTGTGTGTGAGTATGTATGCATGTATATGGGTGTGTGTATGTGTGCTTGGTGTTTACGATGTGTGTGTGTGTGTGTGTGTGTGTGTGTGTGTGTGAGTGTAGTGTGTGTGAGGGAAAGAATTTAGAAACTTCAGCATTTATAGAAGATTTATGATGGAGATTAGCAAAAGACCTGTAGCAATGAGACTTATTTTTTTGTCCTCAGCCATTTCCAGTGTACCATGTCAGCACAACCTGGCAGCAGGTGGCACCAAAACTGAACTCCAAGGGCAGGGACCTTTTGCAGGTGAGGACAAAGAAAAGCAGTTACATGTTGAGTCAATGTGGCCTTTGTCTTCTGCGTTCTCCCTCTCTACTTAGTACAACTGATAAGTGATTATAGTGGAGATTGTTTATTAAACCAAGAAAGAAAATAGAATCTTCAATGTAATGCTAGGTCAAATAAGAATGTTATCACGTGCTTCAAAATGGTAGTCTAAGGAAGTGTGATGAGGCTCTTGAAGGAGAAAGTGGGGCGTGGCATGCTTGAGTAATTCATGGCACCCTTAGATTACTCCTAGAATAATTGAGTGTTGTGGTTGGAAAATCATGTTGACATTTTTTTTTCTTGCATAGAATGTAAAATTAAGTTAAAAGGGCTCCTCTGATAAATTACTTTAGCTAAAATGGAGTATTTGAAATAGCAAAATATTGGTCTTTAAAATTCCAACATTTGTTCACTGATATGAAGTTATACCAGTCAGAAACGCTGTGTAGATTGTGTAAAAATTGAGGATTAGAAAGACATGGAATTTGTGTTTAAAACTTACAAAATTTGCTAACTAATTCGGAGCAATTCAAGGGAGCAAGTGGTAGGTGCTATTTTGAAAATTGCTGAAATTCAATTTTATCTCATTAAATTGGATTGGTGCTCTTCTTATGGTACTTTTTTGTGAATCTATTTGTTGTTTATTTTGTTGTGAATTGTTCCTAAACAAGATTTGAATTTTATTTTTCTGTTCCTCTTTCATTATCCACTGCCAACTCTGTTAAGCTTTTATCTTTTATTCCCAGTTCATGATATTACATCTGACTTTCCTCTCCTTTCGTTTTCAGAAACTGCTGGTGTGTTACCCACCTGACCGACTCTCTGCAGAAGATAGCCTGCAGCACGCATACTTCTCTGATGTAAATCCTAGTCTTAAGTAATTCAATCATTTCATTATGTTGTGTTGAAGATTATATCAACTTCACCATTTACTTTTGTACAGTGCACATCGTATGGCATTTTGCTGAAGTTGATGAAATTTTAAATCTATTCCATTTTCATGCATTCTGTAAGTTAATTTTTGTGATGTGTAATATTTTTTTTATTTTTTTTGTGGGGGTGGGGAGGGTGTTGTTTTAATTTTTTATTTATTTTTTTTTTATTTGAGGGGGGGGGGGGAGAGGGAGTTACGTGAGAGGTGTTATATGTTTAATTTATTAACACTATTCACCCTGCGTTGCCGTATCAGTGCACTTGTGTCCACCTGGCTTGCCGCGAGCCGTGGGAAGAAATTGGTCTGAACTCGACACACTAACCTTAGACACACATTGTGCCCAAACTATTTAGGGTACCAATATGAAAGTTCGCTTAAATTTTACATAACTCACTCACCGCCACTACCACACCCCTGTCGGTTGCTTATTTTCCTCTTTATTTCTACTAATTGCTGATACATATGCGGCCGCGGCATAGCCCAATTACTAGAGTAACATCCCTTTGACCACTCAGAGCAGTTTCACTTTATTACAATGATTTCACTTGAAATTCTGCCAATTTTTGGAACAGGAGTTCCCTTTGTCCTATTTCTGGGTTTTGTTTTGAACGTAGGACGGCCGAAGTTGGCAAAATGTTCATGCCGATATGAATTGAAAACGACTCGTAATTTTAGAGATTCTGAATCCATTATCTTTCAATGAACTCAGATTCAGATAATGAAGCGCAAAATAATGGTAGTGATGGTAGTTTGAGATGAGAGAAAGAGGTACATCACCTGTCGGCAGCAATAGGAGCTAGTACTAATACTAGATCTAGGACTAGTACTGAGTTTAGTACGACGACTAATGATTCAAGCGGTGACGCTTGAAATAGTGCTGCCTAAGTCATCATAAACTTATCAATTTAGTTTTTGTTTTTATTACATATTTTTGAGTGTATTTTAGGACAGAAACTTCAACTCTCACAAAAACAGGAAAAATATTGTACTGGCTAGTTTGGCTAAAAAAAAAAAGTTTTAGTCCCCAAAATTTGTCGTTTTTTGAAAAGCTATAAACCATGGACAAAATAATATAGAGTCAATATTCTTTCTGCTCTGTAAAGCTCAATATCTCCTACTGAAACTGACCAATTTTCATAAATCTAAATAGGTACAGAGTAACTGAATTTTGAAAAAGGTAAAAAAAAGCTGGTAGGCGGCGGCTTTTTCTGAGCTGAGGCGCCGGCAGCGAGTGAGTTAAAATGTTCTTTTAATATTATTAGAGAGAAAGATGAAGGAAAGAGCCTCAAAAATAATGTATTCTTCGTCCGACTGCGACTCATCGGCCCTCAATTTAGCCATAGCAACTTATAGTAAATCTATGATCTAGATCTAGCTTTTCTTCGAAGTTTTCAAGGCACTAAAACCAATCCGATCGCCTCGTTTTTCTAGCTTTACGTCTTCTTTCACTTTCTTTGCCTCTTATGTCTAAAACAAAACTAAAAACATGGTTCACGTATTTTGACAAACAAAAATAGCTGTGGCATTGTTGTTTTTTGTGGCTGTTTCTTTTTTTCTTCTCGTCCATGAAGATTTCAGTGCTCACTTTCTTACCATGATTTGCTGTGGCAAAACAACAAAACTAACTCGTACTTAGTGAAAAACTGGATTGAATCAAGCTAGCAAAAGTTTTTACGAGCTACAAGCGACCTATTTTTTTCAATAGAAACCTGGATAAGTGGACTGGTATTTTGCTACAACTATTGTCGTAGCTCGGTGGACGGAAGCACGCGGCAGCTACAAATATACTCGTAGCTTGGGTGCAATGGGGTTTTATTGTTGTGTGTCTTGCTGTATCGATGACAATGTGAACACAAAAGTTAGGTCAAATGGGCATTGAGCAATGTGTATTTTTACGAAATTGTGGTGTGATACTGAATTGTTGCATGCTTGAGCGTCACTTGCAAATTGTGGTTGAAAGAATTAGTTCTGAAATGAGTTGTCTGAAGTCTTGGGACTAATATATTAGGTCATGTTATGCTATTGTTTGCTGTATATATTTTCTTCTTGTAATTTATTAGTAAATCGCAAAAATATTTGCCCCTGTTGTTGGTTTTTACATGTGCAGGGAGAAGCTTTGTTGACGCAATGTTTTCATCAGCTACCAGTTTGACATCAGTGATGTCATATGCTTATTGTCATTTGTTACATTGGTTTGGATGTCTTCTATCTTTGTTTGCATTTTTATTGTCATGCGTTATGTATGTGTTAATCATGCTCTAATTGTTAGGTTAGGATTTGGCTGTTAAAATTTGTGTTGACTTTTGCTGTCGTTAATGTTATTTTTAGTTGCACTCAGGTGAAAGCTCTTAACAAACAACGCTTTGCATATCAACAGACATTTGTCAGTCATCCCGTCTCCAAAAATGGGTTTCAAGTGAGAGATGTAATTTGACAATCCATTTTTATGACGACTCTCCTGCAAACAGGATGGTTTTTTCCTCACAGATTTCTTCTTGTCAATTTACTGTGTTTCATTTTCTTTTGGATTACATTATCCATTTTTTCGACTTCACCATCCAATATCTACAGCTCTCTGCTGAGGTTCATTGTTCCTTGAACTGTATAAGAATAAGTGTTTGTTGGCGGGGGGTTCTTTTGTTTCTCAGATACAGTAGGAATTAATTGAATTTGAAAGATATGAAGGGCGCAAGAGAAATACAATAGATGTCATTTTTTAATTAGCATTTTGAGAAAAAAATGAAATGCTTGACAGCCCATGTATTTCCACTATAAAGCTTATTTTTCAAGCCTGATATTTGGCAGCTCAGAAGGTTTTAGCCCTGGACACTTACATGTGACAGAAGAGGTGCGTAAACACTTTCCAAACCATGTCGCAACTCAAATTATCCCAAAACTAATACTGTAGTCTCTGCCTAAGATCCCACCACTTACGATCCCGTTTCGTTTAAGATTCCGCTGTTTTAAGAAAACATAATTTTTTCTATACAAAAGTCACCCCTAAGATCCCGCTCTGATTCACTCTGAAGGTCTACATTCGGCTAAGATCCCGCATTTCAGATCATAATTTGCGGAACAAAAATCCGGGTGGGCACAGCCGATCAACCAAGAGTGAAAAGTTGAGATCAGTAAACTGTCCGCCGCGTCAAAGATCAGCCACTATCGTGAATGTGATCACATACACGTTGTAAAACTCGGATGAAACGGTACAATGTGTGCCCCAGACAGGATCACACCGGGGTGTGAACTGACCGACACGTTTGTTTTCCCCACACATCGCTCTCACACCTGAGCTCTCCCCCTAAACTTACATCACTCGCTGGTTGGGTAGGGCCTACATGTTCGTTCCAGGCGGGATCACATCGAACCGTGAACTCTTCTCTGACCATTGCAGCAGTTGTCTCTACTCCCGAACTTGCTAGACAGACTGAATTTCAATTGGTGTGTTCACAACGTAATGGTGTGTAACAACACAGGCGGTTTGGGGGGGGGGAGGGGGGGGGGCTCGATCAGAGACGGAAAGCTGTAAATTTTCAACAGGTAAAGGGGAGGGGCAACTGGATAAGCGTAGTTCTTGAGACTCATGATAGGATAATAAGTGAAAATGGCACGCCTCATGCCACTATGCACTGAGATAGGTCATCAAAGTTAACCACTCTTTGCTCGCTATGTGTCATAAACCCACCAAGGGATCGCCATAGATTCTTCACTGGGATCATCGGTTAAGAGCCCGGTTCGCCTAAGATCCCGCTTTTCCTTGCTCCCGAGCACCGGGATCTTAGGCAGAGACTACTGTATCTGTTGTTTTTCCTGTGGACCCTTCATATTGAAACTTATATAATTATTTTGCCTTTCAGCTAGGGATTAAGCTAAATGTGCGGGTGGTTGGAGGGCACCACTTGTTGTGGGTCCTACTTCTTTACGTTCCCTCTGTTATTTCTGTCTGTCGTCTTACTGTTTCCCACCACTAAATGACCATCATTGGGTTGATGTGCCTCTCTGTATTCTAACAAATAATCTGAATAAGTTTTCTATGATTTTGTTATCGTTATTTTACTTTTGTACACGCCTAGCAATGTAGCTAAGTCTGGAATTGTGCATCCCTCCTGGGACAAGAAATACAGTCTGATTTTGTCTTTAGGTCAATTGCTATTTTATAATTTTATATTCAGGGGATTGGGGGGGGGGGGCATCATAAAAGTAAACGGCTACATTTTCAATGTGTCGGACATTGTGGTTTCTTTTTGTATATCATGATTAGCTGTTATTGCGAGATTGAGAATTCTGCTTACATTTTTCAGTGGATGGTTGGCGGGTGCTAGTGTGTGGTTTGCACCTTCTTTCCTATCAAGCATCAATCGTCTTCATGTCTCCTCCCTTTTTGTGTTTGTTACTCTCTTGTGACACCTCTGATCTTGTGGACACTTTTTTGACCTACTTGTTGTAAGTGCAGTAAAACTACTAAAACACTTACTAATTGCAATTCCATTTATATATATCATTGTGACAATGGGATTTTTGTTTTTTGTTTTGTCAGCTGTTGGGTTTGTTTTTTTGTTGTACAATCTAATTTCTGCTTGACCCGGAATAAAAATTATTTGTTTACAATCATATGTTTTCATAACTGATTGCTTTTCTTGTTTGAGAACTGTGTGAAACTGTTTAGTGTTCTTTCTGAAAGAAAATACACGTTTTGATCATCTGAAACAAAGGAACATTTTCTTTATCTTTCCAGATCTCATGTAGTTCCTGCCTCCCTCCTGACTTAAAGGAAAGAAGTATTTAAAAATTGGTGATCATAAATCGTATTGACAGGTTCAAGCTCAAGAACCAAAGAAATATTTGTTTTGTCTGCAACATTGTTTTCAAGAACTTAACTTTGTGAAACTCGTAGCCTACGCACGCGAACTCGTCACGTGCATACACTCTCAGGGAGCTCTCGTAGCCTAGAGGTTAAGGTGTTGGTCTCTCATTCAAAGGTCCCGGGTTCGAATCCGGGTAGTGATCGAAAATTTTTCTTCTCCAATTTTGGCTCCTTTCACCTCCTTTCCTGCTCTCTAGCAATATTCTGTCGTCTGCTTTCATCTCCTCTTTCTGCCCCCACTCCCTCATCTCCTTTGCCCCCTCCCTCTGGGCTCCTGATTCTTTCTACTGCGACTCCTTGGCTTCTTCTTACTGCTGTCTTTCAGCCACACGCCTGATCTTCTAGTAGGAAAGATCTACACCTAGCCTTCTCGGACAAGGGCGAAAAATCTCGGAGGGCCCGTGTGCAAGTTGCGCACGTTAAGGATCCCTTGGTGGTCTAAAATCGATAAGAGTAGACTTCGGCCGCCACCCGGGCAAAATTCAAAATTTCCTACCAACAGAGAGAGAGAAAGGGGGGAGGTAAGAGAGAGAGATATGAGTGATGAGAGAGATTATATATATTTATATTAGAGAGAGAGAGAAAGAGGAGAGGAGGGGTTAGAGAGGCGGGGACGAAAGAGAATATTTCTTTCAAGACGAATGGGTCGTTCACAACGCCTACTCTTATTAGTCTTAACTGTAATAAAGGAGGCGTTGGTGGGGCAGTTTGCGTTCTCACACACGAAAAAGTTGCACACTGTTTTATTTTACTACATGTACTTCGTCCATCCCCGTCCTACGCTGTACAAACACTCAAAGGCCTACACTCCCCCCCCCCTCTCTCTCTCTCTCTCTCTCTCCCTCTCTCTCTCTCTCACACACACACACACACATACACACACACACACACACACACATACACACACACGGGGGGGAGGGGTGGGGACAAAAACAACCAACAACGTTGTCTTCCTGGCTAGGCCTATGTTAGTCTAGGACGCTTTTTTGTGACGCCTCGTTTACAGTAGGCCTACTCAAATAAAAAAAAAAAGTGACTGATGAGTAGAATTCGGAGATCCAACAGCCAATCAGCAGACAGCTACTTGGTGAATACAATTCAGTTCGTGCTCTCTTAGGGCACTTTGAGCAGAAATTAATCAGTTCGAAGCTGGCGACATTTCAGGTACTTGTGATTCCAGAAGTAAAACTGCCTTCCCGTCTCCTGTGCTAATAAAACCGAGGCGACCAGGCGACACATAGAGATTTAGATTCCATTATATCTAAGAAAATATTCAGGTATGTTATTTGTTTTCGTATTTCTTGATATTGAACCGTATTTCAATTCTTATTATCAAGTTCTCATTCTTCGTCTCTCCCCATTCCTCCTCATTGTACATATTGTGCGTACTGAAAGGT